TCACTTTTGTTTGTTTCTTTATAAAATTATAATAAAAAAAGAGATCAAAAATAAACATTGTGTTTTACAACAGCTACAGTGTACAAGCATTCTGATCTCTCACCATGTCAGGACAGACTCTCTGTACGGTATGAAGACCTTCTTTCTGGTCAGTGCTTGGTCCGACAGGGCTGAGATGACCTTTCCAAGGGTAAGGAGGGATTTGTTGATGCTAGCACCCTCCTATAATAACACAGCAAAAATGGTATTTCAAGTACATGTTTTATAAAACAATGCAAAGCAATGATAACAATACAACAATTATGATTCATTGATTGTTATTGATTTATGTAGCCCATATTTTAAGTGATTGTTTAGGTTTCAAAATGTCAGAATAAAAATGGCCATCATAAATCGCAGGACCCAAAATGAAAAAAAATAACTTGTTAGTAGAGGATATTTGCTTGCATAGTATTTGATTGATATTATTTATCTGATCATCTGAGCAAAAAACAACAACCCCAAGATAAAAATGTAACTGAGAAAAGCTATTTGTCCCATCTGAGCAGCAATAAGAAAGAATAATGTGGGTGTGTGTACCCTGAGTCGGTCTCCACTCGTCTGGGCCGAGTTACAGCGCTCGCTGCCTGCCAGGTCCACCAGGTTGATCCTGCTGGTGATGCTGTGCTCATGTTCCTCACCCTCCACAAACTCAGTCTGTACACAAGCACACAGAGAAACACTGCAACATTCAGCTTAAACACATGACATAATGACAAAGGCTAATTAGTGTGCCGCTGCAGAATTCATTTCATTTATATATGTACTCTCCACATTATTAAATGCATTTATTTTGTGCTTGTTTGTTTGCTGTGTGACATACAGTGATGTTGAGGTACATACCTGAGTCTGGGTCATAACCAGGGTGAAGACGGAGTGTGATCTGGAGCTCTTGTCATTCATCCCTGTAGCTGCTGTGGCTCTCTGTTTGTTGCCCAACTTCAGCCAACCCTAAAGAAGGACACTGTGAATTATAACTGAACCTCCTAGTGTGAAGTCTCTCTTGTGGTTATCAGCACCATTACTGTTATCAATGGTAGACTTGGGATATTTCTTTGATGCTAGGTACTTAAATCTATGGTGCGCCTCCACTTTAAGTTCAAAACATTCATAATCAGTTGTAATATTTCTGTGTTTCATCTGGGCTCTTAATCCACCTGACATTGGACCCTGACTTGTTCACTCATTTAAAGTCCTTTAAGCATCAGCTAAATGCCATGAATCTTAAAAGGAGAAAATGTCTTGACAGCAGTTTGAACTTACCTGAACGTCATTGTAGGAGCTCACAATATTCCTGTGAAGAAATGACACCGTGAGCAAGCCTTCAAATCAGTGGAGAATGTTCCTTTTGTTTTTATTGAATAGCAAGCAGACATTAAAAAGGTTTCTTACGCAGAGAGGTCAGCAACGTAGGGACCATGTACTGGATGCTCCCTCACTCTCAGCTGAAAACACAAAATCAACAGGGTTTTTTTCTTGACAGTACATATTCTCAGGGTATTCAGCCCTATGAATGACCATAAAAAATGGCCAACGGCATTATGAGCTCGCATGCATCTCTAAAGTGCAAAGTAGCTGGTTTATCTGGAAATGTACGTAGCAGCCAATTTCACCCAAAGCAAGCCACATTTTCTCTACCTAAACTTAGCAGTAGTTTCCTGGATTGTATTTGCGTCAGTCGTCAACTACTTACAGGCATATTCCTCTGGTTCGGCTCCTCCCGGGTCACCAGCAGGTCATGGATCTTCTCATTGTACACTTCAAAGAAGCTCATCTCTACATGACATTTGACCTGAAATATAACCATCCAAGAGACAATTTGATGAGTAATGTGACCAGAAACAAAATAACACATGTACACATTCAAGTCTTTTTTTTTTGGAGAACAATTAATTGAGTACAGGAACACAAACTAAGCATTTAACCAGGGATAAATCCTTGTAAGACAGATTTTACCTCTTCATTTTCCATGGAGGCCAACCTACAAAAAAGCTCATGGCAGAATCGCGGGATTACTCCTTCCTCCTCTCCAAAGCCCATCATCCTAAACGACAAGGATTTCAAACAAATCGAAATGACAGATTTCAATTTATATTACAACTGTATGCTTTTTTTCATAGCAAACAAAAATGAAGAGAGCAGAGGGGAGGGGTTCGAGTGGTGCACAGTTCACTGTAGTAAGCTTAAAACTAAAGCATACTCACGTGTACGACTTCCCAGAGCCTGTTTGGCCATAAGCAAACAGGCAGGTGTTGAACCCTTCGAAGGCCCGCAGCAGCAGAGGTTTGGCCAGAGTCTCGTACACCGTCTGCTGGCTGGAGAAGGTGGGGTCAAACTCATCCACCGAGCAGAAGGAGAAGTCGTAGGTGAAAGAATAGCTCTGTTTGGAGTCTGGGTGCTGGACAGTAGTCTCCTGCCCGTTCATGAAGATGACCTGCAAGGCCTTCTCCGCCTTCTCCCTACAACAGAGCAGAGGTATTACAAAAACTATTTCAGAGATGGATTTTGTTTACCAGAAAGAATGTTAATGTATATGGTCTAGCTTAGAACATTCCTATAAAAATTAAAAATAAATCACAATGTTCTAAAGCTCAAGGTAAGGATATCAGAACTTCTTGTGCTCAACCAACACGCCAAAACTTATATTAAGTTTACAATCGCAACAGACGAAAAGCAGCAAATCCTTCAACTGAGAAACTGGAACAGGTTTGTTTTTTCCTTGAAAAAAAAAAAAAAAAGGTGTTAAGTATTAATTAAGTTGCTTACTATTTTTCTGTCAGTCAACAAATCAATTCATTGACTAATTCCTTCAGCTATACAGGAGTAAACAGAGTAATTTCCATTTAATGCAGACAACATTTGACATGTTGTAAAATAAACTGCTACCCTCTTGTAAGGTGTTTGTGAAGTCCCCTAAAACCTGCTTACAGCCCGATGAAATAATGCTTTAATCACACAGGACCTGACTACACTACGTCTTGGTTTATCAGGTTGAACTGGACACATTCAAACGGCTCAGTCAGCATGAAGTTAACTAACTTTTGGAGAGTTAACATCTTCACAATTGACCCCCCAGTTAAGGCCAAGCTGACACTACGAACCTGGCGTTGAAAGGTCGCACACGCACCGCAACAGTCACTGCACTGTTCTCCATCTTCAATGAATCCTGCTGCCTCAGGGCGCAGGACACGGACTGCTCGGTGGACGCTGGAGCTGGAGCAGGAGTGGAGGTCCTGGTCTGGGTCGCGTCTCCCTTCTGGCTGGAGGTGGAGGTCTTCCTCACCTGCAGCGGGGCGTTGGTCTTGTGCCCACCTGAGGAGGCCTTGCTGGCCCGAGGAGCCGGGACAGGCTTTGCGTCCTCTGCTTGCTGTGCTCGGGACTTGGGCCTCTCTAGACTTAAAGATTTGGCCGCCACTGGTTTAGGGGCTTCTTTCCCCGCCAGTCTCTCGAACACGTCTCTCCTGGCTGCGATTTTCTCAAACGGGGTCTTTTTGGTGGGGGTTTTAAAGGTGTGGGCCTGGTCCTCTAGCTGCCTACTTATGGAGGAAGAAGCACAGGAGGAGGGCGTCTTGCTGAGCGCCGGCCTCGCATGGGTTTCCACACGAGCAGCAGTTTCTTTCCCTTTGCTCTTAGAGGCAGAGTCTCTTAAACTCACAGACCTGAATAAACCAGGGGCCCTACCGTTTGGTTCGCTGAGGACTTTCGGGGTCGGCTGCAGGCCTGTGCCGCTGACCCCGCGCTGCCCGTACACGCCTTTATCCATTGAGGGAGTCCTGGTCCGGCGCTGCAGGGTCAGTCTCTTCTCCGGAGCTGGTGTGGTATCCTGGCTGCTTTCAACCATCGTCTTCTCCGGTGTGTCAGCCCCGGTCTTCCTCCTTGACCTCCTCTGCAGAGTGAGTCGGCCCCGGTAAGGAGTCTGCTGCCCGCTGCCGCTTTTTGACAGCGCAGAGACGACGTAAGTCCGGTTCACCTGTCGGCTTTTATCCGACGTCCTGCTGTCTTCACACGCAGACTCTCCGGATGTTCTCTCGCTTATGCCTAGCGTCGTGTCTGTCGTTTTTCGCTCCCTGCCCGGCGTCCTGGAGGCTGGTGTGGACATTAAATGGTCATAATAAGCTGTGTGCTTCCTCGCTTGGACGCTGAATAACGACATGGCGGTCGGCTGTTTAAAAAAACTAAAACGTTAAAATGAGCTCAAGGGTTAAGTTAGCTAACGACAACTCCACTCCGGTTACCTAACTTACAATACACGACATGAAAAATGTCGAAGACGGACGCAGCCACGGCTCGGTATTTTAGGTAAAAGTGAACATAACTCCATTCCAGTGAAATATGACTGATATCCGGGCGAAGAGAGCTGCTTTTGTTTATTATTGTCCTCTCATCTCTTCCGCCATCGCCCGCTTCAATTTCAAACCGTCTCCGCTAGTGACAGCTGATTGGCTGAATTCTCGGAGAACGTGACGTCACGGCGCGGACGAGACGTGTAGTTGCCTGAGACTGACGCTAGGTGGCAGCATAATCAAGGCTATGAGCCATACATAACAGAGATTGAATTGTCACACACAGCTCCAAGGTTGTGTCTAAGTGGAGGAAATTGTGATACTCGTGCTTTCCCTTCTAAAATTAGCACAGTGCCGTTACAAAAGTGACGTACACCCCATAGTTTAAACATAAAAAAACAAAGGATGGATTCAGTGGCTTGCTTAAGGGCATCAACATTAGGCTTGATGTAGAACCACCCAGTTTAGGAGATCTTTTGATATCAAGACGTGCTGTCCAGAAACTTAATAAAACACAGTGAAATTGAAAGCAGTGTTATTTTTATCAGTCTTCAATAATGGTACACCAAAGCAGACTGTCCTTCAGCTGGAGGACCTGCGTTGAAGTTATTGGATTAGAGAAGATAACCCTCTATTTGAATAAATAGTCTTGCATTAATAACGCAACATAATTATTCAGAATACATCAAAATTCAATTTTATTTTCTCAATAAAAACAATATACAAACTAAACATTTAGCATTTACTCAATATACAGATAGTTTCATTGTAGGCATGATGGGAAGAGCTTGCTACTTTTTGCGTCGGTCGTGTTTCTTTATGATGTCTAACAGATTGTTCTTGGTGACCAGCACATCATCGGAGCCCTGCTTGGCTTTCTGTTTTTCCCTCCTCTGCTGCTCATGGAGATGGGGTGAGTTGAGGAGCTGGGGGGGCAGGATGGACCCAGTGGGTTTGACCCGGTTCACCACCTCCAAGAACAGCCGCTTGTTGTTGTTATTGACAAAGGTGATGGCTGTTCCTCTGTGCCCCAGCCGACCTGCCCTGCCCACCTGGAGTGGAAGAAATGAGGGAGAAAATATAGTCATTTGCCTTCTTTAAAACTGTCCGTGTGTGCGATTAATTCCATAATTTAGCTGTGATGGTAATTAGTAGTATTAGACATTTACTTAAGGATGAAAAATAGGATTGAATAACTTTTAGTCATCATTATTAAATGATCACTGCTAATTATTGGAAAGTGAAATTAGTAATACTAACCTGATGGACATACTCATCCATTGTGTTTGGCATGTCAAAATTAACCACCAATCTGACGTTGACGAGGTCCAGTCCTCTGCCTAGCACACCTGTACTAATCACCACTTCAAAGTCTCCATCCAGAAGACCCTGACACCCAACAGAGCAAATATTACAGTCAGACGTGTTCAGCAAACATTATGAATGACCTCATTTTCACCAATATGCAACTTGTGGAACTCAGTGAGTAAAATGCGACAAACACTAGTGTCATTAGGACTTAAATATTGGAGAAAACAATATTATGATGGAAGATTTTAACAAATTGGTACATCTTTATAAACAACTGAACCCTAGAAATTAATTTTCTTTTAATTTTTTTAATTCCAAAGATACAAAATATACAATTAATCTCAACAAAATGCTCTTAAAATGATGTAAAAGACATTCCATCTGATGTAATGGTGTGCCATATAAAAACTCCATCTCAATGTAAGTATAAATAGCTTCAATGAGATGTTGGAATAAGCACAGGCAGAACATATATCATAATGCCATGCAGTGATCATTTTTTCCTTCTAAATAAAAAAAAAAACACATAAAAAGGTTATAATTTATTATTTAATTATAGTCAGGAGGGATAATCTGCTGTTGAATGGCCTCCAAATTAAAGCTGGATTATTTAAGGCTTTATATAATCATATCTATTAATGTTTTACTTCTCCACATTCCTTTTTTGTCTGTTTGTTTAACCTAGAAAGAGAAGAACAGAAGCTGTGGTTTTGACATCATCCGTCTGCAATAAATATACTGATAAACACGGTCTGTTAAGTCTCAGCTCTTGGCGTTTGTGGTCTTTCAGCTACAAGTTATTCAGGAGCAACACTCTCAGACTCCAAACATGGGAGAGCTGCTATTTGTCCACTTCACTGTGCATGCTCTGGCTGCCACTGGCCTCACCCTGAGGATGCGGTTGCGTTCCCACTGGGTCTTGTCAGAGTGGATTGCCACAGTTTTGAGGTCTGTCACCTTGGCGACCGCCTCACACAGCATATCAGCCCCCAGTTTACACTCTACAAACACCACCACCGGAGGCTGGTACAGCTTACTGTCCTGTAAAGCCACAATGAAAAAAAGAAATAGGAGCAAGGTGAGATCATATTTTTTACATTTTACATTTCTACATACAGATATTTCAGTAACTCTAAATGCAGATTGAGCTAAAATGTACTGTATATTGACTATTTAAGTTCTAAACTTTAATTTATTATTATGTTTTTAAGCTGCAAGATTATAAAAAAATGTTAAAATTTAAAACTATTACATAGAATTTGCAAAACATTGGACACATTTAAAAGGTTAAAATCCTCCAGCAGATGGCAGTCATGACTCTCTAGCCAGCAGCATACTTTTGAGGCAACTGGCTGACATGCTTCAGAAAACATCATATTCCCCTTTTTGCCTTTATTTGCTGCAACTAAAAAGCATATACCAGCTGATGTAACAGAAGCTACGGTTAAATATAATGTGTACTGTAAGATGAGTGAAACCTTTCTCCTATTACCTGGTCCCAGTTCATTCATTACCATTCATACCTGGACAGAGCAGGAACAGTTTTACACTGAATACATGTTTTTAAAAGAATGCTGTTTGCATCTGTCCCTTATTATCAAATCCAAATATGTATTTCCCACATTGACTAATAAAAGGGTTTGTCTAGAACAGTAGGATAGGTAAAGTGATAATGATGGGGCTTCTTTTAGCTCTAGGTCTATTGTTGTAGCTCAAACTTGTGAAAACATGATATGATTTCCTGACTTAAGTTTGAGCAAATATTCATTTACCATTCTGTAAGAGCTGCAACATATCAAACAGCTGTTATGGGGGATTTCTGAGTGAGTTATGTCCACTCTCAAGTTTTGGGTTTTCTTAGGTTGTCCCATTCTAATAGTCCTCCAATTCTACAGTATTCTTGCAAGACCCACTACTTCTCCCTGTTCAGAGACAGTGGCCTTTATACTCTGAGCTGTATTAAATAACAGCAGTCACGAATAACTTGGCTTAACAGAAAAATCGCCATCACGACCGCCTTCTACACAGAGAAGTAGCTTCTGTTCCTCACACAATGGTCCAACAACACTTCTTCACCGGGTTAACTAAAGCAGACCCTTCCTGTCCTGCCCTGTATAAATGGTGCAAGCCATTGCTGGGATTCCTGGAGTGGGGCCATGGCTCGGGGCCCACCCATTTCCTCCAGACGGGGGCCAGGGCTGCAGCAATGGCTGTCTAAATATGGTGTAGTGGGGAGGCTGGTCTTGGGCGCTTAAGGAATTACCACCTCTAAACAGTCAGTTAATAAAATACCAAGCTGGTACCAGTGCGTATCAAGACTTGAGTGATAAACCCACTGTAAACTAAAATTGAGATAATAACCCACTTTCTGCTTTGGTCCCTACCAAAGCACTTTCCCCAGAGTACAATTAGACTTGGTCTTACACAAAAAATAAAACTGCTGACCTCTTAAAGAAAATCTATTTTGGCAGTGGAAGTGAGCTTAAAGTGATCCTCCACCCAGAATCTGTCTTTTAAGACTTTAAGTGAGAACCAGACTTTCTGACAAAAGGGAGACTGTTATGTAAACGTACCCCTCCAAGTCACAGTTGAAAACCATGCAGTCTAAACATCAACTCTGTAACCTACATTGAGAATCTCAAACAGCTTTTTCTTCTTGGAGGGTTCCTCCGTCCACAGGAGTATCTGCCTCACGTTGGCGCAGGGCTGGTTCTTCTCACCAATAGCAATACGGACGGGGTCACGAACCAATCGAGCAGCCAGCTCCTCTGTCCCCGTTGGGATGGTGGCTGACGCCAACAGAGTCTGCCGTTCTTCGGGGACTTGCTCCAAAACCTCCAGCACCTGCTGCTGGAAGCCCATCTTCAACATAGTGTCGACCTACAGCATAGACCACAGATACATATGGACACATGATTTCTACACACTAAACAGGCACATAACTGAATACTGGACCCCACTTATAAAGGCAAAACTCTTGGACTATTACTATCATCTATTGGAACCTATCCCAGCTATAACAGTGCCATCCTAAAATTAGCTATCATAAAATTCTCATTGTTTGCTCGTCATGTCAAATTAAAATCAGACAAATAATTAAAAAAACTGCTGTATCACCACAAATTAAGTCTTAATGAAATACATTAATATTAATCTCCCTTTTTGTTCTCAAAACAAACCTCATCAACGACCACGACTTTCACTTTGTCCAGCTGCACCGCCTTCTGCTTCAAGATCTCAAGGAGTCGCCCAGGCGTGGCTATGATAATCTAACGGGGATTTAAAAAAACATGATAATGTAGAAAGTTAAACACTTAAAATAATGTTTGGATGGGGGAGGAGGAAATGATTGTAAAAACAGAGACTGTACTTTGATGCTGCTTTTGAGGCGGTGGAGTTGTTGGGGAAGCGGCATGCCACCGACCAGCAGCGCGGTTCTCATGTTGGGGAGGCCTATCACCAGCTCCTTGGCCTGCCTCTCTATCTGAATGGCCAACTCCCTGGTGGGGGTCAGTATGAGAGCCACGGGGCTACTCCCACTGTGCGCTGGTTTCTAAAATAAGAAAATGTAAAGCATCAATACGTATGCAAGTCCAAAAGCAGTTAAAGCAAGTAATGTTATAGAGTCCATGTCTACTAAAGAAATTTGTGAATAATAATAATACTTTTTTTTGTGATATTCAGTTGTTTTCCTTGAAAATAAATAAATTCAGAATCCAATAATTCTCAAGACTTTGCCCAAAAGAACAAAATGACCTCTCCTGTGCCTATCTTACCGATGGTCGCTTGTATATTGGTAATTAAGGAACCTAAAAAAATGCTATTGTTATTTAAAACAGACAAAATAAAAATGGAAAAAAAAAAAAAAAAAAAGTCTAACATTTTGGTAGAACTTTGCCTGACATTGTAACACGATGTAACAAGATAAACTGTCTCCATAAGAATTACTCAGAACTGCTGATTACCAGCATGAGTCAAAGGATCAAATTGTACAGAATTGTTCTCATGAAACTGTTCTGCTCTGCAAGTTCTTAAGCTTTTATGATAAAAACTGCATTTCTTCTTTTATTCATCCTATCCACCTCAATCATGGAGATGTGTGCAAATGTTTACTCTCCACTCAACATCAGTATTCCTAAGTGATCAATGGATTCTCATGGCTAAAAATGCCCTTAGCTGTAGACTGTGGCTGCATTTGTTTTCCCCCCAACTTGTAGAAATGCATTGATTTATCCCGCCGGATGTTCGCTGCATTACTGTACCTCCAGTGCCCTCACTACCACTGGCAGCAGGAAGGCTACAGTCTTCCCTGAGCCTGTGTCAGCGCTGGCAATCACGTCCCTGCCGGTGAGACCAACAGGCACCATCTGCATCTGGATCGGCGTGGGCGCCTCATAGCCGGCCTTTTTCAGGTTGCCGCTCAGCGTGGCGGGGAAGCCGCAGTGTTCAAACTCAACGATGGGTCTCCTGACATCTTTACCCTGGGTTTCAATGCCCAGCTCCTGTTTAATCCGCTGCACCTGCTCGTCTGAAAGGCCTGCTATGAATCGATCTTCCGTGTAGGAATAGCCTGCTTCGCTTCCACGCACTGGCTGTTGAGTCCTTTCGTCTCCATTTTTGTCCTTCCGGTCGAACACATCGGCCCCGGTGCCCATCCCCATGTGGGCCAAATGTTTGGCTTTGCACTCAAGGCTGCAAACGTCGTTGTCTGTGCTGTCACAAATGTACTCCCCATAGCGACCACACATCACACAGACGGGCTCTCCTGGCTCTGGCCATCTCTGGCTCTTTTTGAATGATTTCACAGGTTCCTCCTCCTCCTCTTCTTCTTCTTCCTCCGTGTCACTTGAGGCAGACTTATGTCCATCTTCACTCACCGAGCTCTCTGTCAAACCTGCAGAGTCTCCGCCTGCTTGTATCGTCTCATTCTGTGTGTTGGTGCCTTCACACGCTTCCTCCTTCTGAACAGGTGTCACTGAACCACCTTCATCTTTTCGCGCCTCCTCATCTACCTTGCTTTTCTTATTCAAAGCTCGGCTTGAACCCTGGGCGGGTCTCTTCACTTTCAGGGCTCTTGGCATAAACATCTTTTATGTATTATTAACCTGTGAACATCCCCAAAAAAACAACAACAGATATTTACATTAGTTTCGTGTCAAGGATTTGGTGGTTGTCGTTTTAATGGTAACAGCAACTTGGTCAAATGGTGGAAACTCGAGTTTAGGTTTGTACAGAATAACGTTATTTCACATTTTATTAACAATGAAATGTGATACACTTGGCCAATGACTTTCCTGCCATTTACAACGCATCATAAATCCACCTTACATGACTTAATGGCTAAGACTAATATTCACAGAGGTAGAAATGTGTCGTAAAGCAACCAAATTACAGCCACACAAAGACAAAAATAACGTTAACTCCTGGCTGCCACTGACAACAAGACAAGAGCTTTGGCATTGTCGTGTATTTTGAAAAAGCCATTTCCAAACCACAGTTCGGCCATGTCTTCAGTTAGTATCTGAGCTCAATGTTTCCTAAAAACAAACAACATTACATTACATTACATTACATTACATTACACACCTCCACGCATCCTCTTCCGACGGTTCAAAACAATCATCGACGCACACGAATGACGCAATGTTGCTTTGCACGCCGGGTAATGTGGTTCGTGGAACAGCGCTTTTCTGCTATGTCTGCTGTCGCTGACAGTGGGTTTCTTTATGAGAGACCTTCTTATAAGAACTAAACCTGCTTTAAAAAAATATATTAAATATTTTATCTTTATAGAAATCCGGAGTCTTTTAAGTCATGGTTTACAGTGAGGGTGTGGCTGGAGAAAATGGCTACAGGATATGGCAAAGAAAAATCATATTGTCATTATTATTAGATATTAGGGTTGCGATGTGTTTCACGATTAGTGCGAATGATCATTTTTGAGTTTTTATTTTCACTGAAAAACGATTAAAATCATGATAATGTGCCATTTGTTGTGGTCTGTAGCCTACCCTTATATATACTGTCAACCTAACAAACATGTTTACTTACATGTGAAGAACAGGGTTTGTATGGCAGGGCATCTCTGCAGCGCTACAGCACTTAATCATATTGCTGTTTTGTCATACATTTTATTTCTGCAATTCTGGATATTGCTTTTGTCAATATCTTGCAATTGTGTTAAATTTGTCGATTCGATCATGTGCAGACCTCCTGGATAACTGAGCTGTGTACAAGATCATTCAACTGGCGGAATAAGTACGAGGTCTGTCTGTCTGTCTGTCTGTCAGGTTGAGAACACGTGGATATATGTAATTAAAACCGTTCAGCTTTTTGTTTTGTGATTGCATTCAGGCTGTCCTCTTTTCGTGCATTCATCGAAAAACTCAAACATTAAACCTAAGCTTTTACACTCATGTGGTGTAAGAATACTGAATGATATGGTTTAAATGCGCCTGCTGTCGCGGGGTAAGTATGTCAGAGAGATAGGATGCAGTCTATAACAATTTCTCACTTTAAACATATACCCATAGCACGAAAATGCAATACAGGGCAAAAGCAACATACCCCTCAACCGAAGTCATAACATTTCCGACTGTATTTGAAAGTAGCAGCCGCGCATGCGCGTTGCACAACAAAGGTGCGGGGCTTGGAGAGCCACAGTGCGGCACGAAAACCGCACCACGGCGCTGAGAGATTGAATAGAGGAGGGAATGCAAAATACATAGGTTATCCTTACAAGAATACGCGGACATGAAAGGGAGAAGCCGTCTGCTTCCGGAGAACCCAAAGAATGGAAGTATTTCTACATTCATTCCGGCTGAAGAGCAGTTTTTCTTCTGAAATCCAAGGAAACCTTCCCAGCTTGGTCCGACGAAGCCCAGTTCAACTAGACAGCAGAATGGATAAAAAACAACTGGACTAGCGACTCATTGTGTCAACAGGACGGAAAAAAAAACCCGCAGCCAACCCGGCATTTTATCACTGGGAGAAGTTGTGGACAGTCTCCGGAAAGACGCCGCATCTCATCGTTTTTCCAGCCTTTCATTGTTTTTTGTTTTTTTTTCTCCCACGAAATTCCAGTCGTGGGATGCTTTCGCGTTGTGTTGCTGCTTCATAGGGGTTTTTCAAGAATACAATCCAGGGGAGGAATATGGGTGAAGTTCAGGACGTCAGGGATGTTAAGAAGACATTCGTTGCTCCAGCAGTAAAGTCTTTTGAGCACTATGACTTCTCCCGAGCCAAAATCTGTTGCAGCCTCACATGGCTGGTGGCCAAAGCTTACGGGACAGGTAGGTAGCATTACTGTACCTTACTTACCTGAATATTTTCTTCTTCTTTTTTTTTCAGATGCATGTTCGTCAGCAGTTTAGTTGATTACTAAAGACCCTAATGCAGTAAATGTATAATATGCTTGTAGTACGTTTTAAAACATTGACAAGATCAAATATATGCCTTATACTGCAGGCATCAAAGACTATACAGTAGCTTATATATTCACTATGGACTCATCACTGCTTGACCGAGGCAGTATTCTATAGTAGTATTCCCTCTAGAAATATAATATAATATATAAATAAATATAGAAATTTTGCTGTTTGCGGACCATCTGAAATGAATTGGAAAGACAATACATTTCATTCCAACAGGGCAGGTGAAAAAGCACTTCGCTTCTGCTGGATCCCAGTGATCAATACATATGTGGTCCGTCTGTATGGGCATTGAGTGTTCAGTGTGGAAACACAGATGCATGAAGGTGTCCCAAATGATGTCACCTTCAGGGTACTGCATCCAGATTTAGAAAGAGAGGCATCATCACATGTGAGATTTTTTAATACATTGTCAATAGCCTATAAAGAGTGTACTTGTTAACAGTAATGGAGGGTAAAGGGAGAGGTGTTGTAGGCTCTAGTCAGCAGCCACCGTAAGACAAAAATCAGTACTTTCAGAAATATAAGTTAATGCTTTTATAATTGATCTTGCCTCACTTTATGTGACTTTATTTATTTCTATATATGACATGATATTCTGGATTTACCTCAGAATAATCTGTTTTGCAGTGAAAAAGTAGTCAGATGTGGGTTTACACCCCCAATACACTCCTTTTAGTAGTATTAAAATGAATGAATGTTGAACTTGTGTATTTGTGTAATGGACTTTTTAACTTAATTGAGACCTGCTTTCATTTTAGAGAGAGAAAGAGAGAGAGAGAGAGAGATGGGCTATTAATGCAGGGGATGTATGGATGTAGCCTCGCTCTGTATCTCTGAATGGCCACCTACATTTTCAAGCAGTGCAGTGAAAACAAAATGGCAATTCAGTCTGATTATCTGGCCAATATGGATAATACAAACAGATGGGAAGGTTGTAACACCGGGGCTCAGAGGCTCGACCTCACATAAGATCATCCTAGGGGTAAAAATTAGACTCAAAAGGACACATTTGTGTCGCGGTTGTTTATCTTAAATGGAATATCATGTTCTTGTCACCACATGTAATGGTTTTATTAGACTTTACTGCAAAGCACTGCTGCAAAGAAACCACTCAAGATGCATTTTGTACATTCTGGACAATTAAAACTCATACTTCCATTGCTCAGAATTGATGGATTTAGACTATACCTGCTAAATTAAAGGTGTTTTGTGTAATGAATAACCTCTATCACCCTCTGTTGTCCATCAGTAGGAATTACAACAACATAGATTTACAGTAACAGCAACTCATCTCTTCCAACAACATATTAGTCACAGCCCTCTTATATCATTATGACTGCGCTGATATGTTACTGACACACTCTTAACACACGTAAGACACATTTTTAGAATACAAGCAGCAGGGATTCAACAGCAGTGTCTGGTGCAGAGGTAATGCCACATCATCTAACAGTCTGAAGAATGAGGATTCTTTCCCTTAAACGTGCTAATCTTTTTGTCTGTCGCATGGTTATGGCATGCACAAACAATAAGTGAGGGCTGGGAGTGTTTTAAAAAGTGTGCGGTCCTATTAAAATACCCCACTGCGTGTGACATTCGTGCTATGCTATATGCTAGGTGACAGAGCCAGGGTTAATAAGGTGGTATCACTGAACAGAAAGGCAGAAAGAGATGGCTTTTCGTCTGGACTGAGTGCGTCATGTTTTGCTTTTATTTCCCATGTGACACATATCAGATCCTGAGCCATGTGTACTGTATATTAACTTATTTCAGTGTTGCCATGACAGGAACTAAATGTAATTTACCTCAATCAGATTTTCAGCCTAATATACCAGAAATAATAGGCTCCACTAAAAATAATGAAAAAAAAGAGTTGCAGTTTGGGCTTAAACCGCAGCCTGCAGTATGGATTAGGCCATGCTCCATTCACTTACACTGAAGTGAAAACAAGGTTGGTCTAAAGCTGGGGTTTAGGAAATCTCAGCTCAGGATTTTGTAGCTGAGGCAGATGGTTTTATGAGGGGCCTCGGAAATACACTTGTACAGTCAGCGTATGAGAGCGATTATTAACCAAGTTTCAATTCTACACTGGGTTTTGAAAGTGTAAGTGGGAGCTATGACATGATCAGTGCTTACTTGTGCCTGAATCATATTAACACCTTATTGATCTTTTGATATCCAAATTAGTTTTTTATTGCTTTTATTCAATAACGTGTGTCCCACAGGTGGAGAATATATTTGAGATGCTGGGGCAAACACCTTGCGTGTATGAAAACAGCATTACAACGACAAGCTGACTTCTAATCAGGGCCGTCATTTTTTTTCAATCAGCGGTTTATGATTTTTCCAACCAGACCTTTGAATCACCCAAATGGCTCTTATATCAGGTAGGGCAGATTCTGGTCACAATAAATCTTTTCTGAACTCTTACTTATGAACCTTAAACATATCAGCTCTAAAATAACCCGTACAGTTCAGTTTGTCTGAACAGTGCAGACAAAATGGCATTCTGATGCTGTAGCCACTGAGCAGAGCACATTATTACTTGCACTGTGTTGTAACAGCCCAGCAAACATGAGATTCCTTGCAGATCCTCTGTGTATTTTCAGTCAGGACTGATAGAAGTGGGATGATTCCAAAAATACAGCCCTCTA